CCCCCCCCCCCCCCCCAATGCTAGTGTAAGGACTTGCCTTAAATGATGCCTCTTGATCTGATTATCTTCTTCTTTCCTGTAGTTTTAGGAGTCCCTCCAGTGCTGGTGGTGGTCTCCGACCCAGCGCTGACTCCTCTCTCTTAACTGGCACTTCCTGTCCCACCGAGTTTTAACCCTTCTGAAAGTGAAATATTTTTCTAGATAGGCAGAGCCAGCTGTCACTCACGCAGCTGGGCGGATCCAAACATAATTGTCGGGATCCGCTTCAGCTGCGGCGTCTCAGTATACCGCTGAGCTTAGGGTGACGGGAGGAAGCTAGTTTGTGTCCTCCCGTTACCCTAAGGAGAACTATGGGGAAAAGCACTAACCCCCATAGTTCTCCTTTAAGGATCTTTCAGCTTCAAGATGTAGCGTCTAGGGCTAGGACTACCAGAGATCCTTGTCAGCAGTGAACCAGCCTTATTCCCCCATCTATATAGCTTATTCTGTGCTATTGCAGATACATAAGCATTCAAAAGCAATACTGCCTCCTGCCAGGCCATTCTAGCTTGCAAAGTATTATATTCAAGATGATTCTTATAAGTCGATGTAACCTGTTTCTGTAGCTCTAAGTATTCTTTATTTGCCTCTTTTCTTCTTCTAGCCACATATGCAATCTCATGTCCCCACATAACCGCCTTCATCGTCCTCCACAATAAAACAGGAGTATCCCAATCTTCCAGATTATCATCCATACTATTTGCCCATTGTGCCTTAACATACTCAAGAAAATTAGAAGATTTGGAACAAGAAACAGGAAATCTCCAAATCCTAGCCCTTTGAATTGGACTCTGCAAAGATAATAACATTGCGAGGGCAGCGTGGTCCGAAAGTGTCACACTGCCAATAGTCACCCTGTTGAAATTAGTAAAAAGAGTTTCAATGACATAAATGTGATCTTTTCTTGACAATGTAGAGTGTGATTTAGGATAACAAGTGTAATCTCGTTCCGTAGGATTCACAGCTCTTTCAGCATCAATAAGAGGAGTGTGAGTCAACAAATATTTCAAATCTTTTGTAGACACATAAGTGGCATGACTTTGTGACTGTGAACGATCTAATGCTGGGTCTATAGTGGCATTAAAATCCCCGCCGCAATAAGATTAGGTAAATCCCGTTCCAATAACTTTTGTGCAAGCTGTACGAAAAAATGTAATGAATCAGTATTAGAGGAAATATACATTACATAAAGAATAAATGGTCCCTGCCACCTCCAATGTAATTATCATATATCTGCTTTCCTTACTCCTTCCTTTCCCACCCCCTCCCTCCCTAACACTAATACGAGGTCCCAGGAACCTGAACATCAACTTAAAAACTCAAACTGGTTCACATCTGCAGCCGAGTTCCACGGGGATTCTCCTCTCTCATATGGCCCGTTAGATTCTATACTTGGTTATGTCATAACAATACATGTAATGGGTCCTGCCTACCCACATATACCCTTGTTATTCTTTTATAAGAAAATAATTATAAAAAATAAACAATAATAAGATAAAAACTACAAAAAAGTAAATTATAAAAAAAGTAAAAAGATAAATAAAAATCTTAAAAAAATTACATTGATTAAAAAATAATTAAATAAATACAAATTTAAAAAAAATAAGAAATAATTGAATTAAAAAAAAAAAAGTGATAAAAATAAAGAAACAGTAAAAAAAATTGAAACTAACCCCGCTGCCCTGCCATCTGGTTGCCATTCTCAATTGATGGGGAGGGGGGGTTGGCGGCGTGGGGCGTATTGTGCAACCTGGCCTTGGGGCGGCAGGGAGAGTAAATCCGGCCCTGACTGCGGTAGCACAACGGCTAAATAGGGATGAGCATGAGATCATCCCTGTGAGAGACGCCAGACTTGTTCCTGAGGTCCATACTATCTCCTGGCACCTCCAACAGTCATAGGGCTCCTCTGGTTCTCTTCCCCAGATAGTTTATGACCTCACCTGGATCCACATGGGGCCTCCTCCAGGCTTGAGACCTAGTCAACTTCTCCAAACTAGTACATGCCACCCCACAGGCCAAGCCCAGGGGCCGACTGGCCTGAGCAAATGGCAATCCTTGAGTATCTATACACTTCCTCAGCATGCACCACTGGCCATGAAACTCCTATTAATTGGCTGATGAGGCATAGACCACCAAGCTTTTCAAGCCACCCAGTGTTAAGCCAAAATCCATTGCACCCTACAGATGTAATTGGTCATTAGCCAGTGCGGGATCATCAAATTGCTTTACCTCTCCCTGCCAAAAAACCTGGCCGGGTACAGTAGGGAAAATCGTATCCCCTTCTCTGATAATACCTTACACCTTAAAGTTTTCCTTTTCTGTAAAACAGCAGCTGAGAAATCCTGGGATATCAAAACCCTTCCTCCCTTCACTATGAGTTCCTTTATTTTGTGGAACGCCTGAAAAATTGGAGGTCCAATGTAGACATAAGATCAACAGAAAGCTATTTAAGCGATTTTTGCCCCTTAATAGATTCCGGAATTCCAATAAAACACAAGTTAGATCTCCTATGTCTATTTTCAAGGTCCTCGAGTTTATCTCCCATTGTGGCACATAGGAGAGATTGAGCTGTTAGCTGATTTTGTGAGGTTAGCAGTCAGTCCTCCAGATGGCTCAATCATTGTTATATTCAACAATCCTTTTCTTATTGGAGGATATTTGTTCAAGGACAGATTGAATGGATTTCTGTAAAGTATCAAATTTCTTCTCAATATGGGGCAGGAGTTATTTGGTAACTTCCTCAATACTGGAGTTAGTTATCAAGGAAGAATTTACACTTATCTCCCCTTCCAGTGTCGTATTA